TGGAAGGATCTCGCTCGATAAAGGAAATCTTGAGGTATTATCAGAAAGTGACTGATTTTATTGAAAAGAAACATCCCAAAAAAGGTTCACACTGGCCGTATTGCTGCTCAGAGTAATGACATTTGCCTAAGTTATTTTAGAAATATTTTAAAAAGTAGGCAAAGCCAAACCTCTTTGGATAGATATTTTACCAAGCAACCTTTATCCAGTGAAAGTGCTGGTGGAAGTGAAGGAAAGAAAGCAAAAACAGTAAATAAAAATTTTTAAAAACTATAAATATATAAAACAACACTAATTTTTAAAAATCTTTTTTAAGTTATTTTTAAGTTATTGTTACATTATGTTATGTAAGTTAAGTTTTAGTATCGTTTCCCTTCTCCCCCCACCAGTTTACACCTCCACGTTGTCTATCCTCAAAGGTAAAGTGCAAATAAAACTAATTTTTTTTTAAATCAATTATTATTTTATTATGGTTATTTATACATTTACAACTACAAAATGCATTTTTCAGTGTTTTCCTTACTAAAGTTATTTTTTTCCAATGTACTATTTAGCTTTAATTTGAGTGTGTTTTTTGTGTTGGAACGAATTATTTGGTTTTACATGTAATTGTATGGGGAAAAATGATTCACCTTACGACATTTTCATGATATGATCTCAGTTTCAGAACGGATTAATTTCCACTGTATATTCCACTATAATTTCCACTGAGGTACCACTTTATATACTATTTATATATGTTATGGTCAATGATTTGAGTACACAAAGAGTAAACAATACCTTTAATACTTTTTTAGCAACACTCCACTTTATTCAAACAAATGCTTTTGACCCCTTCTTTTTAATGTTTATTTTGTTATAGTTTATTTTATTTTGCACTGAATAATGTATATATTATTTATAACATCCAACAGTTAAAATACGAGGCGTGTTTTTAAAGTAAGTACCGTTTTAATATAACGCCGCTGGAGCGCTGCAGTCGGCACTTAGCGCATGCGCGCTGTGTACCTACATCTGTTGGGAAGCCACAAACGCCNGACCGTTCTGCAGTGGTTGTCTCATCAGGCGGCAACATTCTTTGAGGATGGAATACAAAAGCTGGTCCCACGATACGATAAGTGTCTCAATATTAATGGGAATTATGTAGAAAAGTAGTGTAAAATATGGGCTTTCACATAAATAAAAAATTTTGTAAAAAATGTTTGCTTGTTTTTTTTATATTTCAAAACGGTACTTACTTTAAAAACACGCCTCGTACATAATTCTTTTTACCTTTACATCCTTACTGTTTTACATTTCTGTGTATGTATTGTCTACTTGGAGCTTATTTATTAATAGGACTTATTATACTGGTGTAGTTTCTGATTAGCAAAGAGAGGAGATCTTAGTCAAAAGTCAAAACAAAATATCTTTATTTTCACCCGTACACTCTTTTTGTGTGTTTCAGATCTGAAGGCCCCTCTTCATCAGGTTTACAACATTCTACAACAATTGTATAAAGAACTTTTTTAAAACAATGACATTACGCTGATGATATTATTTAAGATAAGATAAAATTACTTACATTTTCTTTATTGTCCAATGTAAGTAATCTTATCTCATCTTAAATATTATCATCAGTGTAATGTCATTGTTTGAAATATTATCATCTGTATTATCATCAGTGTGAATATAAAGATATTTTGTTTTGACTTTTGACTAAGATCTCCTCTCTTTGCTAATCAGAAACTATACCAGTATAATAAGTCCTATTAATAAACATTGTCCGAGTAGACAATACATACACAGAAAGTTAAAATATATAGTTTATTCAAGTCATACTTCAAATATAAAAACACTGTAAGAACATTGCTTCTTTAGAACTCTCAGTTAAAATCTTCAAATTATATGCATTTAAAACCTGAAGCAGACCTCTGAAAAAGATCAAATCATTTGTTTGAATAAAGTGAATGTTTATGGAAAAAGTATTAAAGGCTTTGTTTACTCTAAACTATCTTCAGCTTTCATAGAAGTGATTTTTGATCACAAGAACAGACAATCATTTACAAAATTTGTATATTGTTTTGGGCTATGACAGGGCAGGAACATCAGTCAACATTCTAGCAAACAACATTGGTAATGCATCAAAACAACAATACCAGTACTGTTTGATTAACTCCTTACAACTTGTTAATTATTTTCAGTTGTTTAAGAAGTAGAATTAGTAAAAGTACAACAGTTCTTAAAAAAATTTCATATCATATATGAATTTGATTCAGAAACAACTGAATCAAATTCACTGTTATCTGAGTGAAGAGATTAGATTCTAATGGATATCAAATCAGCTGAAGATTAATGCATTTTTAAATCATAATTTAAACATGTTTATTAAATATTTTCTGTAAATATAAACAATAAGAAATTATCCTTAATGAACAATTATTTATTGTGACATCATCACAATGCCAGGCTACAATTTTCAATCATGTTTTAATTTAAAAACTCACATGATTTCTGGTCCAGGATGGACGTTTGTATGTAGTTAATCGAGGCTTCTGGCCCTAAGTTTCCCATATCTGGTCTTGATTTTCTTCTATCTAATTGCATTCTTGAGATTAGCAAAGGACAGAGACGGAAACAATGGAAATGTATAGGACCGCAATTTTAAAACTGCAGCCCAATTATTTTTTATAAATCATAAACTTTAGAAATAAAATGCAAATATTTTCTAATAAATTTTATATTTTATTTTAAAAATGGCTTTTCAATGTATTATAAAATAATAATAATTCTACTTTGATTCTACTAAGTCTACTTCACAAAATAGCTGAAAATAATTCATCCCTTTTATTAGAACTCCCTTTCTCTATTCTGTATATCTTCCCCTATAACTGGATGAAAAGTGATTTAGTCTGTTTTGACAACTGTCAAGTAAAGTAGGAAGGACTATAAAGGACTGTAACCTTATTTTGTTATTTTTTTAATTAACAGTAAACTTTATTTATTTATTCATTATGTAGGCCTATAGCATCTTATCCAGGAGATAGAAAAATATAATAATTTGATTCTACTAAGATAAAAGCCCTGCACTAAACTTTAGACCTTATAATGAATTGTAAGTGTCCTCTTTCAATAAGACAAGGGCCCTGCTTTTATCCGCCTTGAGGACGACAATGTGTTGTTCCGTTAACCATTTCTTGGATCTAGAGAGCAGTTTCCAGAAACTGTGATCCCGGTTTCGGCTGTTGGATGATCGGATCTTGCAGGCAGTTTTCCAAGGCGGATAAAAGCAGGGCCCTTGTCTTTTAGACCTTATTTAGACTTACATTCATTCACTTTTAAATGTTGGGACCCAAGAGTTCCCCAAAAGTAAATATATTGTCTATGTGCCTGCATTATATAACTAAATAAATATCCTTAATCTTAGGTGTGTGTGATGCTCTATAACAAACTGAACCACAAAAGACAATTCACCACATTGATATTCAACAATGACTAACGATTGACTACCATTCACATCAATGCCTGTTCATTTTGACAATACTTGCTTGAAAAGAACATGATATTTGGTGTAAGATATGAATGTTTAATATGTATGGACAATAACATAAACATTTGGTACAAGACATTATTGTCATGTTGCTTTCATCATTCACATGAGTGAAAGAAACATTCACAGCATTGACTGTAACATATATAATATAAAATTACTTATGTGCATAAATAGATTATATCAGTTTCAAAGTTGAGATAGAGATTTTGATATTGTTTAAAAATATATGGGGTGGTTGTAAATGGACACTACTTAGAGAATTCTAGAACAAAATTTACTAAAAACATGTCAATGCAATTTCATATTTAAGCTATTAACCTATTCGATGTTGAAATTTTTATTTGTTGCCTGTAATGCCATGTTAAATTTTCGTCGATGTTAAGCCTAAAATTTTTTTATTTTAAATAATAATCGTGTTTACTGTATCATAAAAAATTATTTTTTATGTTTCACAAACAAAATATATATATATATATATATTAAATAATTTTTCCTTTTAGACATACAGAAAGGCTCAACATAAATACCAACAATACAACATCAAAGAATTGAAAATCAAGAAGTAAACTAGAGGGAAGGAAATCAATACTTGTGAGGAAAATAGCACATTACACCACAAGTTTGAAAGTAAATTTTAAAATGTTTTTTATGAGAATAAGATTAATTATTTACAAAAATTTCCACTTATATAAATCCAGCAAGGAANTATAAAATTTTAAGATAAGAATTACTTTGATCATAAAAAAATAGAAAAATGATAAAATGAATAAATAATTATAGTGTTAGATCTGGCAATAACTATAGATGATTTTGCGCATGCTCACAATGGACTGCTCCGTAAACCGTAAGAAAAGTTTGTTCCCTTACGGATACGGATAAGCCCTTACGGTAGTTTATAACTATTGCTATAGATATCCAGTGTAACAAACATTTACGAATACAGATACGGTTACGTTATGGAGTTTATAACTCGATCCTTAAGAATATGGGAAAACCATTTACAACAAAAAAATTTTTTGTTTCAAGTTTTCCAACAGAAAAAATCCAGCAATGAGTTGCTTAACTTTTCCAGTAACATTTGGTGGCACCATCTGTTATCATATTTTATTTTAAAAACTTTTTATATTTTTAATTATTATAAAATGACAAAAAACTTAATTTTGAAGGTAGGGATGGGGTTTTAAAAAATTGTAAATGCTAATAGTGAGTAAAATAGTCATTAAATCAAACCCTACTTGAGATATGATACAACCCCCTTTATCTCCCAACACCTTCAAATTTTAATCACCAAAATTTAATAGCATCAATCCCCCTATTACAAACTTGCCTGCAAAATTTCAGAAAATTTTGACACAGGAGTTATTACACTTCAAAGAGAGTGAACAAAATTGTGCTCCACAAACATACACTAACATCCATACATACAGAAAAAAACAAAATTTTTTGCATTTCTTGACATTTCATATACAGTAGACCCCCTATAACATGGGTTCATATAATGCGGATTTGTATATCGTGGCGAAAAAATTGCGACTGTATTTGTATAAAGACACTAAAAGAGACTCATAAAATGCAGTAAAACGTCATTGCCGACTCTGTCGCGACAGGATTGGTCGAATCTGGACCAATAGTGGACGAGCAGCTGAACTACTTACATGCTACTGAGAGTTTAGGCGGGTAAGTTGAGTTTACTATCGTCTGTACAGTATATAGCCCTAAATTAGGTACTGTAAGTCTAATACATTACTGTAATTTTATACATTTCTTATTCAATGGTCATAAAAATTATTTCTATTAATGATGTCTCCAAAGTTCAACAAATTTTTTGCAGAAAAATAACTTATCAGAAAACATGGCCGCCATTTGGTGCGCTGCTCCGCGACAAAAACAAGCTTAAGCAATGGTGTGGTCAAACTGTGCACACTCGGTAAGTAATCCTACATTTTTTTGTTTATAGCATAGTTTATACAGATTCCCAAAAAATTATACGTGTTTTGGAAATGTTCAAGTCAAATTAGTCTAGAATCGATTAATTTTATGGAAGAAAACCTTTCAAACAGCAGTAGTCCGTAAACTGCACACGTGCCGGGCTGTGATTGGCTCATGTATTTAAGGATTCCTACAATGCGAAATTCTTATAAAGTGGAATATATCTACCGCGTTATAGGGGGGTCGACTGTATTTCTATACAGCCCTTCTTCCTGATCCATTTTTAGCCTAGATGGTTTTTCAAGATCACGAGTCCAAAAATATAAAAATCTTGGGGGAGTCATTTTTTGACCAATTGCCATTCTTTCCCTTTATCATAAATAACAGCCAGGAAGTAAAAATGGCACTGTTCAATGACTGTTGATTGTGTGCAAGTTGCTATCAAAATGATAGCAATGTATTAATAACACTAAGAGAATATCAATTTATAAGAAAATTAAAAAAAAAAAAAACTGGAAATGATTTAAAGATGATTTCAAACTTTGAAGTGATGCATGACTTTGACCTATTGACAGGAAAAGAACAGCATACAACTTCTACAGAAATAGTTAAAAACATTGTAAATGCTTTGATGACTAATGCAACTAATGAACATTTTAGTAAGGAAATGGCAAATCAGTTGTTACTGCCACGGTTGATCATTTGCAAAGTGTTGTTTACCATTCTTTACTGATACCCCTACACAATACATTTTGTGCAACAATTGTAAGTAATCAGGCTATTATTATGCTATAATTAATAATTAGAAGCTAATTAATATCAATATATCGGGCTTTGGAATGTTGATGTATAATTAAAGCCTCAACACCCTGCCAGGAAAAATTTATTTTGCAAACTTTTGTCATATAAAAACTGATATCAATGAAACCTGTCTTTATAATGTCTTGTAGACTGTGAGACTTACTTTATTCTAGCACGGCAGTCAACACAGAATTGCAGATTATGGGGGTCCATGAATCCATGGCTGAAAAACCATTGCATTTTGACTATGTAATTGCTTGGTGTAAAAGGAATTCTAATTTTATTCTAGAACAGATTTATTTAACCATTACATCAAGAGGGTGAGTGAGATGAAGCATTACAGGTGCCTGGTGCTATCAGTTTTTTGCAGTTATCGTGTTCCTGCCTTGCAAGAAAGACAATGTTTACACACTACACTCTTCATGCACCACAGAATCCTTTGCATACTGCTGGTCCAGTTAAAGAACTACTTCATGACTTCTTCTGTGAGAATCATATTACCACTAGATATCTCCCATATGCTTGACCTCCATTTTCTTCAAATTTACTCCCTATAATTTCTGACTTTGAGGTCACCTTGAAGATAGTCTATCAAGAGGGTAGGGTATAAAATCCCTGGCCAAACTTAATGCAAACATAACAAGGAATGTTTTTGCCATTCCGTACAAACTGCTAAGTACAACCACAAACCACACTGTTATATTTTTAATATGTTATTTGCTTAAAGGGTTTATATATTGAACAAATTCTGTGAAGAAATTTGAGTAATATAAATATCCTTATAGATACAGGGAAAGAGATGTTGTCAGTTAGTGAGTACCAAACATCATCTCTTCCCCTGATGGAGAACTTTGAATTAAAAATTTCTTACATTATACTTTCTACAAATACATAGTAAATAATTCTCATTGAAGGGTTCTTGGAAATTTCTTGTTCTAAATGGCTTCCCTGCATTTCCAATAGCTTAAATATGAAATTTCATTCAAGAATCCTCTTGGCATTAGTTTAATTATAACTATCCTGTATATTTTTTAAAGTTTTTCTAGAATTTTTTAAATAAATATATTCCAAAATTAAAACCAAAGATAACTCAAAAAATGTTAAATAATTAAAAGAATTTAATTTCTAAGGTTGTTTTATTAATTTTACTATATAAGAAGTCAAATGTTTTGTGATTAAAAATATCAAAATAATTCTGTAACGGAGTTTTAAATCTTACAAAGATCTGTAATTTAATGGATAACAAGTTGAATGTGCAAAGGAATTTTATGGTTTTAATTTTCAGTGATCTGTAATCTAAAGTTGGATGAGGAGGAGCACAAAATGCCCAAAACGTGTACAAATATGATAAACACGTATCAACTAAATAAAATTTAATGATGAGATTTGCCAAGTGTCTGAATAAATACAATAAATGATTTATGTTCAAATTACTAATCAAAATAATTACCAGTGCATGCTGAAGGCATATATTATCATTAGCTTCTTGAGCCATCATAATTGCTTCTTTAAGAGCAGAAAGTGCTTCATTTCTGAAAAATTTAATTAATTTTAATTAAATATTTTATCACACTTGTAATATAAAAGCATCAATATACAAATAGTTTTTATAAGAAAGATTTACAATACCAAAATTATCCCTTTTAATTTATGTTAGAAATTACACAAATCACAGAATTTTGACTCTCAACTAAGTACCATCAAACAAGACTGCTTTATTTGAAACACTTAAACACCTAGTTTTTACAGTACACTACGTGAATCACTTTTTTAAATGTTCCACTATTATCAGTGAAGTGGCTATTAGATAAGAAATAAATTAGATGGTTAGTTTTAAAAAATTACATTTGCACTATAACATTGGATTTTGAATTGTGATTGTCTGTTAGGAAAATGAGATTTTTTAAATGTATTTGTTTTGTTTGGATATTTGACTTTGAAACTGATGATCTATGGAGAATTAAAGAAATTTAATATGGAAATTTGTAATTTTAAGGACTACAAACCCTGAAGATGAATCACAGCTCTAAAAGCACTTTGTTCCTATTATTATTTTCAAAATCTATAATTACTTTTTTCATAACACAAAATTATCTACATGTAATATACAAACTGCTGAATTTAACAGTTTATTGTTTCGTAGTTAATATTGACAAAAATTCCAAATGTCGTAATATTCAAAATATGTGATTATAACACTTACATGTTGTGGTGCAGGAGTGGAGTCTTGGAGAATGAACTCATCCGACTTTAGAAAATGAACTCATCCACTAGTACTTTTAGTAGTATATAACTACCAGTAGTTTCACTAGTTATAATCATATAATAAACATTGGCATGAAGTGACAATGTATTATATGATATTCAAAGTATTTATTGATTAATGTAAATTTTACATGTTTAAATATTACAACATTCAAAATTAGAGAGATGGTTTTCGTCACTCTATTTTTACATTACCAAAAATTAAAATGTTTTGAATTTTTTAATTTAACAATCCAACTTCATAAAATACAAATTATAATTTTTTAAAAAATTGCCAGGATGAACATAATTATTAATTTTTAACTGTGCTATCGCTGAAGGTCTTTTTAACTTTTTTGAGTTTGTGGCAGATAAGTAGCCTACAATAAAAGATCAATGCCACCATGGAACTGTTATTGCCTCAATAGTGTGTGAAAGGACCGAATGATATAAACTCATCTTGCATGTATAGTCTATCAAGAAACATATTTTTTGCAAACAAATTATTATGTAATAAACAATTATTTCAAATTTTTACTTATGTGAGATCCTGGAGATGAGGACTAAATTTGTTTAATACTGTCAAAAAATTAAAATATTATTTGGTCGTTAAAAACGACAAATTTTTATACATTCAAAGGAAAACGTTAGAGAAAAGGGAAATCAAACTTCCTTTCTTGACTGACGATTTCCCGTGGAGAGATGTTATTGCAAAAGTTTTGACGAACATCTGGCAGATCAATTCATCTGTGCATTCCATCATATGATAAAATATAGAACAAATGATTGGAGAAAACTGAAAATAAAAAGGGCAGAAATTGTGTCTCTGCATGGACTGCCTTAAAAGGGAAAAAAGACTCCTGCATAAAAGAGTATGAAGCAAAGTTCCATCCATCAACCCTCTCCAGCCCATCTCCAAACCAAAATGAATCTCATCACACTGACTAGACTGAAGACATCGGTCAACTAGAGGTATTATCCCATCACTTGTAAACTATCTCTTGATATTTAGAGGTGTACATAGTTAGATATCAATATAGCAATAGATTATTCTTTTATGTATTTCTTTATTATATTCATTAAACTTCTGTTTGTTATTTGTTAACCTGTCTGTTCACTGATTCTTATACGGAAATCGGACACCGACCAACTTGCCCACGGCTCTCCCCACTCAAACACAATTAAGCCCTCCTATTTGCATATCACCATCCACTGACCTAGTGAGCAGATCTCAATGACTCGATGACTATTGAGGATTAGAGTACTTCTAACCTCACACATATACATATATAAAAATTTTATAAATAACAATTCTTTGTTATTAAAGACTAAATTAATGGGACTTACTTGTGTCCAAATTTGGCATGTAAAATAGCAAGATTCAATGCAGCGTAACGAAAATTTCGATCTGTTTCCTCATTATTAGAACTCAATTTAGTGTCCTGATGAATATGAACACTCCTATCAAAATGATGATATAAATTCTCAATGGCACCACAGTATTCCATAACTCGAAGGCTATTTAAAAAACTTAAATAATGCTGTAATAATAAATAAAAATTTAATATAATTATATTATAATAAAACATTAAATTACAAATGAAGAAATTATATTTCAAATTCTTTCTAAATTACTTTCATTAATCACATTACAATTAAATTTACATTGCATATGCTTCACCACCATTTTTATTATAATAAATTTTGTCAACCTTTTACACTAAATGTTAGTAATAAAAATAAAAATACTGTATGTTTACTGCAATATCAACGTGCAGTGAGTTTTATTTACTCAGCCACTGGTGGGCCACTGCTGCGAAATATAGTACCAAGCAGCCCCGTAACACTTCTTAAACATATTACTAAAGTATTAAAAGCTCAATAACTCTACATTGATATAAAGTAGTGATGTCAGTATTAGAAAAAGGTTAAAAAGCACTGAGTTAGAGGTTTGCCTTGGATAATTGAGGTTCTACTGTATTTCTTCACATTAGTAATTAACAGACCGTTACTTCAAAAATTTTTTCTTAGAATATTTTTATAAACAAAAATATAAAAGCTGGTCACAATTTTAAAAATTATCTGCAACTGTCAATAAAAGAAGTAAGCTATGCACTAACTTACAGAATATTAGTGGTATAACAATTAACATACAGACATACAGTTCAATCACAATTTATACAAGCTGATTTTATGATAATACAATCTAACAGTGCAAAAAAGTAAATAAATAAATGAGTCTTATTACACATGTAAAACTGTGAAGCATGTAGAATAGGCTGTAGACTGATATGTGTTAAAAACTGACTGGCAGAGACGAATATCATGCAAAGGGTCAACAATTCTGGCGATGATGTGTAACTACTCAATCAGAGCTTGAATCTTACCCATTGCTTGAAAAAATAACTACAAAGAAAGTTGAATTTACAAAAAAAAATCAGCCAAACCCTGTTCTTTCCTGAAGAAAATGAAGAAAAGAAATTAGAAATATGTCAACGATGAGTGAAATTTGTTTTATTTGAATGCCAGTGTAGTTAGTAGCTGTCATCTTGTTTGTGGATGTCGCATTCACAAACAAGATGACGACTGGAAGTGCAGCCATAGGGACTACCTAAGTAAACATTTTCCTAAAAATCTCTTGATTAATTTTATGTTGTTTCAAGAGTTTGTTTTGATTCAACAAGAATAGATTTTAAAATCATAAAAATCTAGTTTTGAAAAAAAGATAGAAGAGTTTTTATGAAAAATGTATGTAAGTAATTAATTAATTATGCTTATAAAAATCACATTCAATTAGGAATGAAATGTGTGAAATTGCAATTATGATGCTATAATTATATGATAATTATGTTTCACAAATAATTTATTACTAATTGTGGATGTTAAACTGTTGATTTAGTTGATTCCCAAATAAATGAAAGAATTTTATAGTTAAATTATTCAAAAAAACTAAATAAACAGATTTGTTTACTAAAATAAATTTTTATGGTCATTTGAAAGAAATTTGTGAGTCTTTCAAATTATTCTCTAAAATATGATGGAACAGATTATTTAGAGTGTATGTAAATAAAAACAATATTAAATTTCTTAAAACGTTGAGAGAGAAGATGAAAGTCGATGTCACCACCAATCCAAACACAAACATATCTACAATGTGACGTTGCCACAAACATACAAATAAAATTATGTTTTTATTTATTAGATTCCATAGCTTTATTTTTGATATTTTACTTTCCTATTCTATTAACTTAATAATTAAATATTTTTCCTGAATCAAAAACTAAACCCTAATTAAATCAGTAAATTAAATTAATTAAATGATTCCTAAATCCAACTGTAAGATACTGATTCTAATTCCTATTTAGATATCTGATATCTAACAAAAATTTAAAACTTCTTCAGTTGAAATTTGGCAAACAATTTTAAATAAAATATAAATTATTGATATATTACATTAAATCAGATTACTTACAGCTTCAGCTAATTCTGGATTTCCTTTTAACAATTCTCTAATTTTTTGTTGTAGATGAGGTGGTGATAAGGCTTCCTTCTCATTAATTTGTAATAGTGCAGCCTGAAATTTTTAGTTTATTACAAATTTTCTTCAAATAAATTTTAATGATTTATTATTATTAACTATTTACTTGTTGAGCAACAAAAAATTCAGCTTGTTTTTGTGAAGCAAGAACTTGATTATCTTCAAATTCTCTAAAAAAATAAATAAAGATATCAGATTTAAATTTATAGAACAAATGTCTCTTGTTATTATTCCACATACTTATCATCATCATCTATAATTTTATGATCACTTATAGTAGAAATATCTTCATTATATATACTGTCATCATTTTTAAATCCATTTTTATAATATAAGCAAAACTTATGATACAGTTTTGTAGCTTGACTGAAAGATAATTTATCAAATGCCAATAGCATTCTTCGAAGAAAAAGACCTTAAAATATGTATTATATTTCATTATTACTCTTTTAAAATGATTTTAGTATATAATAGAAACTGTAACAGACCAAGAACGCTGCTCTTGTGCACCACAGGTGTTTGATTATGTGGATCAACCAATAACGATTCCAATGACTGAATATAATCCATTATTCCTGCTACGCCTTGTAATTTTAATTCATTCAATCTATATCAAATGGAGCTATTAAATCTTTATCATTTAAATACCAATACAAAATAGTAATTATATTCAGTTTATTAAAACTTACCTGTCTAAAACCATTGTATACGTTTGTGGATGTAATATAGGTTTGATAATACTTATTAGTTGCTTTAAATCCATATCCGGGTTCTAGTTAATATTTTAAAAATATATATTAATTGCATTATTTTATATTTATAATATTCTCAAAATTATTATTAATGTTATATAAAATAGCTTAAAAGTTTTCAGGTAAAAAGGAATATTCAAACTTAAATTATTAAGATAATTTCTTGCTGGTAGCATCAACATTAACTAATACTTTTCTTAAAAATAAATATAAACTTAACTATTCTTAAGTTTTCAAGCATAAGTATTGAGGAGTTCTGAGACAAATTTGAATAAAATACAAATGAATTATTGCTAAAGTAACAAAGTATTTTACAGTTAATTGAGAAATTAAAATTACATTAAAACTTTAAGTAACTGTGTTAGTTAAACTTTATATGCCAATCTTTATCAGATACTGTACATAATAAACAACTGGCCATTATATATTAGATCATTTAAATGAAAATGAGTCAAAAGTTGTATTAGTAAGTTAATTTTATTGCATCTTAAAAATAATCAATAATCACCACAACTGTTAAGGCATTTATTCCACTGTGACACCAGACAATTGATTCCTTGTGAAGAGAATTTGTGGGATTGCTGTCCGTACCATTAACAAATGGAATACTGCATCTCTTCATCTGAATAAAATCTAATACCTGGTAAATGGTTCTTGAGCTCCCTAAAAATGCAAAAGTCACAGGAGGACAAGTTTGGGCTGTATGTCGCTAAATTTGGCAAGACAATACTTGATGATATTCACAGTATGGAGCATGCATTATCATGGAGAAGAATCATGCTGGTGGTAAGCAACCCAGGTTGTTTAGACTTTGAAGCTCTCAGAGATTTCAGAATTTCCAAATTTGGGAAGTTTGCACTGTGTTTCCAGATGTGCTACGCACCCTTGTGTTATGATAAAAGTATCAGTAGTGCTAATAGCCCTGTTGATACTTTCACAACAAATAGAGAAGACGGATGTTTTCTCATGATGTAAATAACAAATGGACAATGTTTGCAGAAGTAGAATAAAAATAAAGTTTATTAAATTAACCAATGAAACAAAATATAACCATGATAATAACTTAACAAAATGAATAGCATACAGAAACTTAATGTCTTCCAAAAATATTCCAAAAACTCAGAACTCTGGTTCATATTGAAGAATCAAACTCAAAATAAATCATCATCATTCAACTTAGCATATCTTTTCCTAATTGTCTAAAACACTGCTTTATAAAATCCTCTCAGTGGCAATGTCAATATCAGAAAAATATTTGAAAGTTGAAAAGTTGTTTCATAATATATTAATTTTATATAAATATTCCTATACATGTTTAGAACTAAAAATTATTGAAGTATTCTTCCATTCCATATTCTTCTAGTTATGCATTTTGATACACAGTAGGTGCCACTAGTAATCATTTTGGAATGAGACTACATGAATAACAATAACATTATGCAGTGAAAGTAATTAGACCACAGTTAATAGAAATTCTAGTGTTATTGAATCAGATAATTTAAAACATGCTAAAACAACTAAAAATGTTAAAAAATAAATTTAATAATTAAGTTAAAAATTTATTAATTATACTAATAATTACCATATTTTACTGCATATAACACAACTTGATTTCAACACAAAATATTTAGGAAAAAAGTATCTATTGTATATAGGTCATATCACAACTTTTACACTCAGACTAAAATTTTTTTACTATAGTCTGGTTGAAAAAAAAAGTAAAATTAAAACAAACTACTTGTACTTGGCACTATGTTCAAAATTATTAAAACAATTTGTACTTGGTTCTATGTTCAAAATTATTAGAAAGCTTAACTAATAAAATCATTAGGAATAATAAATAACACTTTAAAACCACACCTTGTACTAAAACATTTCAGACTAAAATAATATAAAACTCTGGCTCTTCCAACTCTCCTGTATGGAAGTGAAATCTGGGTCCTAAAGAAAAAAGATATCAAAAGATTACAGGCAGCCGAAATGAAGTTTATGTGCCGAACTCTGGATATATGCTCCTGGATCATCGTCGAAATGAGGATATTTTGGAAGAACTCCACATGTGGCCATTAATTGAAAAACGTTCCACATAAAAAGAAAAATTATTTCAACATGTATCTCGAATGTTGCCAGGTAGGATACCTCATGCAGTTTTACAGTATCAACCACAAGGACAACGATGATCTGGACATCCACAAAAATGACTCCTAGACCCTGTCTAGTTGAGACTGAAATGGGTCAACATGGCCTAAATTTGTGAATGGTGTATGATGATGAATTAATAAAATCTTATATCATTTGGATAAAAATTGTAGCAAAGTCTTTTTACTGTAATGAAATTCTGTGATGCAAATAAATGAATTATAATATCAGTTATTATTTATGTATATAATACATCTATCCCTTGTTTTACACAGCACTTTTTTTGCATGTTTTCGCTTTTACATGGTTTTAAAAAAATTTTAAAAATTGGAATCAAGGAATTGTTAAAAAACCTGATGAAGAACTTGGAAGGAGTTTGAAAATGTTCGTTTTTGTTTGTTTTCATTATCTACACACCTTAATTGGCTTAGAGTACATGATTATGTAATTAGAGTTCAAAAATGTAAGTTGTATTGTTTGTCCTTAAAACTACACTTCAACCAGATTATGTTACATGATATACAGATCAAAAAATTATTGAAATTTCATTTCATGCATATTATTAATCAAATGTTACAACCAGTTCTTATTGGGTGGGCTATTAAGAGGCTAATTAATTAATCCAATATTTAAGCAATTTGGACTGAAGATAGAGAGTTAAGTTGCCATCCTATACTAAATTTAATAATTAAAATACAAAAAACTTTAATTTAGAATATTCTGGAAGAAAAGATTGGCCCAGAGTGAGACTTGAACTTGTAACTCCCACTTACTGCACAAATGCATTAACATTTAACTCCCCAGATCTCAGACTATTCTTCAATTCCAGACCAATTAATTAATTTTAATTTAGATATAACCGTACTTCTCATACTTTCTCCCAGAATATTTTAAGTTAAATTTGTTTCTTTCTAATTATTAAATTTAACACAAGATGATGACTTAATCACATATATCTAGTCAAAATTGCTTAATATTAGATCAATTAAACTCATAGTAGCCGAATAAAAATCTGACTATAAGATTTCATTTGATAAGTAATATTTATCAAGTTGTTTGTAAACTTAATTACATGTTACTTATGTATCACATTGATCTGTCAGTAAAAATAAATCATATATATGATATAAGCTAAAAATACAGCTCTGAACAAAGCAGTTGGATCTTATCAGAATTGTAGACCATGCCCACCTAACTATATAAAGCTGAAAAACTGGACTCTTTCTTTCTGTCACTATATGCCAAAAATGGCCACTAGGGGGTGCCCCTATTATTTAAATTAACAATAAAATCAGTATTATTATTTGATGCAGTTTTTTGCATTTTTGGCTTCGTTTTAGTAGGGTATACCATGAAAAATTCAGTATATTATTATTTTTATTTGTAATAGGAATTTATTATTTATACCATGAAATGGCACCGCTGCTGCTAGAATGCCCACTAGGGGGTGTCCCGGACTACTAGAATAGAAGGATTAGAAGTATGAAATAATCTAATAATCTTAATCTATGTAGTTGTTTTTTGCCTGAGCAATGCCGGGTTCATCTGCTGGTAGGAGTAAAAAAGTCTAAGGAATCAATGGTCGACATGTGATCCTTACCCCCTTCAATAAAACCATTACCTATTATCGCCCCCTTCACTTCAAAATTCCGATGCCAAGGACCAAGACTAATGCCAAATTCGTACTGCATTGAATAGACTAGTGATTAGTATAATGTTATTTGTTTAATTATTGTACGATATAGCGAATAAAATATCTAATTATTCTTAATATAATGTTTTACTATCTTGCCCAGAAATTTGTTTTTCACCCCCCAAAATATAAATTGTTACTAATCGCCCCTCAACATGGAAAAATGCCCACATGGGGGCGATATCACCCCCGTTGAGAAACACTGCTTTACAAGATTCAGCCCCACTGAAATCAGCCTACTTGTAATTTTGAAGACCCTCAAAACTGGGGTAAGATTTAAAAGTGAAAAAATCTGGAACTATTTCTCAAAACAATGCTGAAAATCAATTGTTTTCCATTTAGTAGCAACAGTAAAACCTGTTATGAGCTTTTAGCTGCCTCTAATAAATGAATGAGAAATGCTATTGCACCAATATTTCTGGGACATGATCAGAATCACACTACACACTCCGTTAAGCCCATAACCCAATTAATAGGTAAAATTGCAGGTAGGCTGATTTTGGGGGTGTCATAGGTTGGCTTATATCTTGCAAAGGGCCACACGTAACCGTCAGTTCCTTTGACTTTTTTACTCCTACGGGCTTGGTCTATGGCTCTGATGAGGTCTTGTTCAGAGCTACATTTGTACCTGACACAACAGTAGATGCACAAGCATTACCTGGATGAGTTTCAAAGTCGTGATAGCAAAGTCTCGATGCTGTTGATTAGTTTGAATCCAAACATTTTCTTCAACAGACAAATAAGCTTTCTGAGTTCTATTTTTGTTCTTAACTGTACTGAATTCCTTTATTAGAACAAGAAGTGCAATTTTATGGGCAGTGATGTGGTCTCTGGAAGCTTTCTTCTGTCCAATGTTAAGTAAAGCAAGTTCTGGACCCATCATCTTCATTAAAGGAAAACATCGATTAAAACCTCAAAAATATACAGGCATTATTTATAAGCATTTTATGTCAAAATTAACTTTAAATATCATATACAATATATAATTATTATTAATAAACATTCAATTAAATTCAAATACCAGCAACAAGACAATTTTTAGTTACGTAAGAATATTAATTTTTCGATACTTTTGTCGTCTTTTACATATTATCGGATACTTATTGCGTCAAGAAATATAAATCAACGACGACACATTTCGTACGAAACAACCGCCATAATTATACAGCGCCCTCTGATGATAGTTTCTTCTTCTTCCTCTTCTTCAGTGTTAATATGGAGAATTTAGCACTTTCTAGCTGATGATAGTTTTATCTTGGAAGAATATTATATTGTATTTAAATTTTTATTTAAAATAATTTGTGTCATTATTAAAATAAATTAGCTAAATTAATGAAAATTTATATAAAATAATCTGATATTTGTGTTAAAAAATTCAAAAGTAATATTATTAGTTTTTTTTACTTGGTCGGCCTCCGTCCTTCAATCCATGTGGGCCTGGCCCAAGGTCTTAGAATTCTAAGACCTTGAGCCTGGCTAAACCCACAATGAGCTTGCTAAAAAGAGGCCCTCTTAGTGCCCACCAGGGCTGTGGAGTCGGAGTCGAGAAAAATATGTCAACTCCAACTCCGATTCCGGCATCTTAAATTTAATTTAGTTTTTTTTATTTTTTATTTAATGAAAGAAAATTTATTTTATATTTATTTTTTTTAATGTATTTGTATTTTGTTATAATTCATTTATTTTAAATACAAAATTCAACAATTTAATTTATTAAATATGTATCAATAGTTTTCTTTGTAGTATTTGTGTTCAGTAGTTAAATTACTGTATTTTTTTTTTTAATTTGAATACTATTGATTCAATCCTTTCTTATCCCCGCTCTAAATAAATACAGTAGAGCATCGATTATCCGACCCCCGATTAACCGTCATATCGGTTAACCGACCGTTCTAGTCCGCAAATTTCAAATGTCTGCTAGTGATGTGGCACTACAATATTTGGCTGTGTCTTGGCTACTTTAATATTATTTTTGTTAAATTTTTGCGTGTTTTAGCTGACAATACTGGCTCGACCATTGAAGGGAGGCCAGTATTTAAACGAGATTTAATTTTCTAACTATGAGTGGTCGTTTGTTTTGTGAGCAATAAAATAATTTTTAACGATACAATAGCGAAGATTATTATTTTTTGGAAGAATTTGTTAGGCTTAACATCGATAAAAATTCAACGCGAAGTTGGTTAACCACTTGCTGTGCGAATGTTTTTAAAGGAATTTTTAATTAAACATAAAAAAATACTTAAAACTAAAAGAAAACGAAAGAAATGCGTTAATTTTGAAGAAAAAGCTTCAAAGTTTAACTTCCTTTGTCTCGTCTTTCTGCGAAATTTGACACCGATGAGTCATTGGGTGCGTTTACTTTTAGCTCCGATCTCGCCCCTAGCGCGCTCAGCCTGTATACTTTTTGTTAGCTACCAATGAGCACGGCGTTTACTTTTCGCACTCGTGACGTCATTGCTAGCATTCCTAGCGCGCTAGGCGTGCTCGGAGAATTTACAACGAGCNGGTGCGTTTACTTTTAGCTCCGATCTCGCCCCTAGCGCGCTCAGCCTGTATACTTTTTGTTAGCTACCAATGAGCACGGCGTTTACTTTTCGCACTCGTGACGTCATTGCTAGCATTCCTAGCGCGCTAGGCGTGCTCGGAGAATTTACAACGAGCTTGGAGTTTGTTCAAAGATGGCGGCGTCCATTACTGTGTATACTTTTACAAGCGTGCTAGTATGGCGTCAGGCTGAGCTAGGTGTCAGCTCGGCGAGCTTGGAAGCTAGCAAAAAGTAAACGCACCAATAGGGTGCGTTTACTTCTGAGCTAATAGTGCTACTTCCGAACACCGGAAGTGACGTCATTAGCATGTGTATTCGTGCTTACATGTCCAATTCGAAAGTAAACACGAACGCTAACAAGAAATATGGCGGTTTCCTGCAAATAATATTGTCAAAGCTGCTATTTTAAATGTTACGTTACAGATATAACTATTTGATTCCGAATCGGACGAGGATGATTTTATTGTGGATATAATTGTAGAAAAATGAAAAAAGAAAAGTAAGGTAAAATAAAAAAGATAGAAACTTTTATTGAAGAGACTCTACCTTTTTATAAGCCAGCCGACTTTAAACAACCTTAGACTTACAAGAGAATGTTTTGAAGTTCTCTAAAAAATAAGCCCAATTATAGACACCGAAAAATTACTTCCTCTGGAAGACGACCCGTGTCTCCTCAAAAGCAGCTTTTATGCTGTCTATGGACATTGGCAAATCAACAATCATTCAGGTTTGTTTATACGAATATATGAAATTAGATGCAGTTTATAAGAGAATGGTAGATTATACATACATATAATACATATTTAAAGCAATTGTTTCACCCAGTGAATGGATGTGACGTTGTTTTGTTGTGGTGTAACTAAACTGAGTTCAAAATTAACAAATAATTGATATTAAATACAAAACACTTTTTTTCTTTCTTTCTTTCCTCTAAGGGTATTGGCGATCGTTTTAATATGTTTAGACGGACTGCGTGGAATATTTTAATGCTGTTCATTTCTTTACGATTTATTTAATGCTCTGAACATAACATTTCTGAAGATTCCAAATGCGTCTTAGGTAAACCTGACTTTTAACCATAAACAATGAATCAAACTTAATTATTTTCACATTAATTAACTCTGTTTATGAAAAAAGTCATCTAAAGCTATTGAACCTTACAATGAAAAAAATCATTGTAAGCATTTTACACAACAAATAATTGAAATTTACCAATAAAAATACTTTCTGTCGTTTATTTTTCGAAAATTAATTCCATTTTTAGTACTTTGTACAGAAAGTAATTTTTTTCATGAGAGCAGCCATATCGAATTAGCGCAAAGCTCGACAACGAACTAGCTAGCACTCCGAGCTTACCAAGGGCGCGTTCGTAAAGTCGAACGAGTTAAACGAGAATGACGTCATCGTTATTCTTATTTCGTTAGACTTTTCGAACGATTCGTTTAGAACTAAATGGCTGTTTCTAAAATCGAAGATACAAACGTTGCTAGTACAGCCTTATCGGAAATATTTTTCTTAGATTGCTTCGGGTGGACAGTTATTTCAATCATTTCATCTTTTAATTCACAATTTAAACACTCGAGTGATTTAGAAACATCGATATCGTCGGGCGCCATTTTCTTAACGAAGTAAACTAACTCTTTCCTTCGTGAACTTCATTAGAGTTTCGTTCGAAACGTCATCACCGCAGAGCATGCGCACTGAGCGAGATTACTACTATTCGAACGATTCGTTACTAACGCGTTTAACTCGTTTGACTTTACGAACGTACCCCAATTTCGCTAAACATGACGTCACATAGCTCTAAAGTAAACGCCAATGAGCGGGGCACTCGGACGAAAGCATACAGGCTGAGCGTGTTGATAGTAAAATTAACTCAGAAGTAAACTCACCCAATTGTTTACACAGCTGGATGACCTTGAGAACATCTGGTGTCGGATTTCCCGGGACATTCTCATAGACGTCTTGGGAGGACAAGGGTTTAAAGTAGGGTGAATACTAGCTGGCGGTATATTTTTAAATATTTAAAAAAAAATAAAATTTTAATTAATTAATTGCGATTTCCGACTCCCCCCGATTTAATTAAACTTATATATAATAAAATACTGTATATTAATTTAAAAAATTAAAAAACTATTGGAGGTCGTTTTTGACATCAGAAAGTAGCTTTAAATAACTTTACCGAAGTCAAATCCGTGCACTACAACTTTAGAACGATTAATTAAATTTAATAAAAAAATCGCATTAAAAAACAATTAAGCGTTAATCGCGCGTCATTAAAAGTTGATTAAAATCGCGATTAAATTTTTTCGCGCATGTACAAATTTTTGAAAAAATTCGGAGACTTAAAAAACATTCCAAAAATAAAAAAAATTGGCATTTAAAAAAAAGCATTTTATGTAACGCTANAAATTTTTGAAAAAATTCGGAGACAAAAAACATTCCGAAAATAAAAAAATTGGCATTTAAAAAAAAAGCATTTTATGTAACGCTATGTAATATGCCCGAGTTAACTCGGGTCCGGACGTTAAGGGACGACGGACCTTTAAACTGGCCACGAGCCAACCTCCCTCAACTTCAACAAAAATGTCGACCTCGTCAACATAATATGGAAGTCTTGGAACGATTTGTGTACCGCACTAACCGCTTCGCCTAATAGCTAAGTGGTGCGCTTCGGAGAAAAAGCTAAAAGGCTATAGTCTCCATATGAAACAATAAAGAGAAAGAAAGAGAAAAGAGGATCCAGCATGTCCTACTGAATTCGTACTTCCTGTTCGTAGTTCTTCCACGGTTGCCTTTGACATCTCGGCCATCCGGTCTTACATTAATCCGAGTACAGAACCGGTATATTCGAACGTTGGATACCGATAATTCTTCAAGTATAAACTTCCAGATATACCTATATCTGAAGGCCGGATGGCCAAGCTGTCAAGGTCTGCTCTACCACCTTTGGGACCCGGGATCGAATCCAGACGGGTCGAAAAAGCCTCAGCAAGGAGGTAATCCGTCCGCATATGTCGGGCTCCGCCCCTCACCACCCGGCCGCCTCATTGTGGGCCTGGCCGAACACATAATGGACTTGCTAAAAAGAAAGGACCTCTTACTGGCCACGGGGCGAAAAGAGTTGAAAAAAAATATACCGGTACAGTACATGTGTACTCGACTTCATGATTTGAATTAGCACGAAGAATATGTCATATTAGGGTTTATTAGAATGTTTTTAATCGACAATTATATTATCAAAATTCCAATTTATTTAAAAATTATTTTTATTTACGAAGAATTAAAATAAAAAATTGAAAGAAACGCTTTGAACGAGTTAAGATAAAAATAAAAATAATACAGTAACATAGATGTTATTAGGCATGTGCAATGATGATGTCAACATGGCAGACGTGGTGGATCGCAAGGTAAAACTTGCAGCTGGGCTAAAAAAAGTAAGCGAAAATATTATTAATTACAGCTTAAAATGTACTTATTTTTCGTTTTATCACGTTATAAATAATCGGAAATCAGTATAAAACGACATTAGACACAGCAATCGACTTGAAAACGGTGTAATAACGTGAAAACAGTTTTAGGCTTAAATAACTTGTTTATCTTAATCGTTTGTTTTAAGATCTATTAAAATTATGTTCTTTTGATATTTACTTCATGATACAGATTGATAATGTGCTTAATATTAAGACGCAATTCTTTGAGGTTAATGTCATTCATAACTAGTTATGAAATTTTTATTTGTAATTAAAACCAATCTTGATCAAAATATCATAATTTACATACAAATTTACGACTCCTACTTGCTTTAAAAAATCTTAGTTTATTCTTTATTTTTACCTGAATGCGTTGACATGTCATTTGCTTATTTGTCATGTAACTAACTGTAGGTGGGCGTTTTCCAATTGTAAACATGAAAATAAAATCAAGAAGTTGTGCCAAACTTCATACTCAGCTGTTGGCTTAATACATTTACATATGTGTGCAATGGGGTCCTTCCATCAACTGTAAGGATATTAATACTGTTTTGGTGGCCCATTATGGGTTTGATGGGTGGTGTTTTTTAACGTTTTTCTTGACACGAACTGGTAAAATCATGGATATTTTACATGGACTTTATGTGACTATGAGTTATGCATACTTATTAAGTTTATATGTGCTTGTCTAGATTTCCTATATGTGACAAAGTACAAACAATAACTCTAGATTACTATTTAAATGTCACCCGTAATTGACTGCGCTGGCTTTGGTGTGGTCAAATATTTTTCTGCGGATCAGCAATTGAGAAACACTGGAATAGGGATAATTGGGATCAATATCTCTCCCTAACTATGGAATACTTGTCTTTATTTGCACGAGTGTCTGAATTTCTATAATTACAGTTTCTATTTCTAATGAAAATAAAGGAAATTCAAAAGCAAAAAAGAAAGAAGCATATATGAATTTAAATACCTGACCTTATAATGAGGACTCTGTGTCGGTTTTAATACTTTAAAATTAATTAAGTATTGTTGGTCATATGAGTAAAGAAATTCAGATAATAACAATTATCTCAATTGGTTTTTATGATGTAACTCTTATGCTTTAATTGTATTTAACAGATGTTGCTTAAAGACAGATTTAAAGTTTTCCATATGTTTTAACTGATTGCAGTTCAAATTTAGATCAAAATATATTAAATATGTTGTAACTATTAAATGCTTAATTAAACATTAATATTGCAAAAATTAAGAAGTAAAAACTTAAGAATGATTTAAGTTCTAAAACATATTAAATATCTGTTATATTCAGAAGTAAGAATAATAAATAAATATATTAATGTAATGAAAATTATTTATTGCTTATATGTTATAAACTGATATGCAATAAAGGAAAAAGCAAAATATTAAAATGTGAATTGTATCATATGTTTTTAATAAAATACAGTAGTATCATATTGATTTAGACATGTATTAGTACAAAACCATATTAGTAATGTTTTGCAATAATTATAAACACAAAAAATAATTCCATAATGATAATGTATACCAAAAATATTTATGCAATTACATGTATGTTCAGTAAGAGTCTTATCTAAATGAATCTTATCTAATTTACTTACTTAACTTCTTACTAAAAGTATTTAGTAAAAAGCTTTCAAGATTTCTGTTCTATTCACTTGAGAAAGATCATTTTAGTTTGGAGAGTACTCTTAAATTTCTGTTATATTGTATTTACTTGAATATAAGATACCATCAAATCTAAGATGCACTTTAATTTCTACATGCTTACCCATAATTTTGTTTTTTGAACAAATAGACAAATCCAGATAAACTTGTCAACAGAACTGATTCCATTAACATAAATTTGTTCAGTATTTATTGCACTGTATATCACTTGTTTTCCATGGTATCAAAGTCAGAAATCTCTTCACTTTCCATGTTAGGCTCTTCTGAATCAATACTGGATTCAATGCTCACATTTTTCCACATGCAATCATCCTTAGTGCCATTTAAAGCATCTGAAATGCATCATTTCTTGAAAGAGTGCCACACAACATTTTCTTGAGATCTCATCCAAGTACGAGATTACTATAATAGACTAACGAGATTGAGCTTAAATATTTACTATTACAAACATTAGTTTAATAAAATCATTAAAATGCTGCATAGACTTAATGTCAGAGAAATAAAATGTATAGCACTAGAGGTCATTAATTATGACATATAAAATTTAAGATGCACTTATTTTTAGAGATGTTGAAACCTGAAAAAAGTGCACCTAACATTTGAGTAGATTATATTACTTCTTATTATTAAAATTTTAACATCAAAACACTGTATTTTTAAATAATTAAAAAAATATGAGATTTATACAGCTCTGTTAAATGAAATTTAATAATTGCATTAAGCTTTATTAATTTATCAATTTTATGTAGGTTTTAGTGTATAAAGTAGACTATTTTAACTATAAATAGATGAGAAAATTTTTTATGACAGTCAGTAGGTCTTAAGAAAGTCAGTCATTACTGAATCAAATTTGCTGATATTAAATATATTTTAATAAAGTAATAATTGCTTTACTGTATATAACTGATAATTAATAAATGTGTATTTATTCTGATATACTATATATGAAATAATATATAAGAATTTATATATTAAAAAATGTATATAATCTACATTTATTTCTATAAAAAGATAATTACTATTGATCAGTTAGCCATTATAAATATGTAAAAAAGGAATTTGAAATTAACAATTTTATGAGATGCTATTGCATTCTTCTTTGCTAAAATAAAATATTTTTATTAGTTCTATATTACTTAAGCTTATATAAGTTTATTTTTGTAGCATTGTAAAAAGTTGATGAACTCTATAACAAATTGACAGTATTAGGGTCAAGCTATTAAGGCCTTTTTTAGCAGATTTTGTCCTTTGTCCCATTAACTCTAAATCAGTGATTCCCAACTGTGTGCGTAAGTAACCTTAAAATAATTCACTAACCTATCATGGTAATGTGCTAACAGGAAAAGCCAATGATATTGCCAGTGATATTTACTATAACTGAACTAATGCTAATGCCTTTTGTGGATGGATTTGTCAACAAACTACAAGCGCGGGTAAAAAAAAAAAAAAAAAAAAAGTTTACTCANTTTTAAAATTTAATTATTCCAATATGTTTAAAATTAGTAGGTAAAGATTCAATAATTCAAGGCTGTTGAGTCTGTACACTTCAACTCCTTTATTTATATATCAATATAGGATATAAATAATAAATATACTTGTTATATACTTTTTATATCAGTTGAATGCAAGCAGCATACAAGGCATTTTATCACTGTCAACTTAAATCACAGACTATTTTTTTTAGAACCATAACCTGTTCAAGTTTGGAGTCGAAGTTTGGAGAAAAAAACTTAAACTAAAAAAAATCAAAGTAACCTGTATAATAAAGGAATAGCTGGTTAGAGCTGATCTTATTCCTCTCTTTCTATTTTCTTTTAACATCCTCTTGTATCTTACCAAGTCTTTAATTACAAAATATATTATTAATTTATAATTACAAATAAACCATTAAACATCAATCAAATCACCAAATAAACATAGAATAATTCTTTACATTATCCCCATGACATTTTCACTGACTTACTTCCTGAGGATAAATTGTCTGAATGGGTTGTCTTATACGTCAACCATTCAATAACTTTAACAGACAGGCTTGTGTAATTCCATCTCTGCTTTCTGTATAAGTTGTCCTAGTTTCCGTTTTTGTCTGAATAGGATTTCTGTAACAAGTTATACAATATCATCATCTTTTATGTCAGTTTGTTCCTTTCTTTGTTTTACTTCATGAAATTAAGATCCAACAGGTCCATTTTTACCTAATTTGACACTGATTTTGACTCCATAGTCCTACAATAAGTATAGTGTTTTGATCATTCTGTTTGCATTTGATACAAATTTCAAGTTTCCCCATCATAATTATTAAGCCCACCATAAAAGTCTCTTATGATGCTACATCAGATCTGTGAATCTAATTTGTGTTGTATGACTTGGGGTTAAGATCAATGCTCTACATCAGGGATGAGCAACACGTGGCCCGCGAAGCAACACGCGGCTTGTTAAACATGTTTATGCGGCCTGCCAAGCATTTTTAAAATTGAATTTATTTTATCGACTTTCTCCCATCAATATATTGTTATAAAATTAATTATAATAGAATGGTAGTACATACTAAACCGAAACAATTTTTTGTGACGAGTAACTCACTTGTCGGCGACTTGTTCAAACATGCAATATGAACACGCCGCGTCTGTGCTTGTTTGTGTTTGCTTCTGTCACACAATCAGTCAGACTGGTAAGCTGTTAACTAGCAATTTTAGCAATTCTTGTGTTTCTTGAAAGGCGTGAGTGCAATATTATTGTCAAAAAGGTAATATTAGAGTTTTTTTTTTTCAAAATTAAGTTTTCCTACAAATTTTTTTAACTTTCAAATTTTTAATCCATAATAGCATGTCGGAAAAGCAAACAAAAAAACGGAAGGTTGCGGATGAGCACAGGCATTTCCAAGAAAAGTGGAAATTTGATTATTTTTTCACTTTCGTCGAAGATAAAGCTGTATGCTTAATATGCTCAGAGACTGTGTCGACATTAAAAGAATATAACATAAAAAGGCATTACGATACAAAACATGAACAACAATATAAAAACTTAACAGGACAACTCCGGATAGATAAGTTTAATCAAATGGAGAAAAACTTGGGAAAACAACAGGCTATTTTTAAAAATCAAGCTATTTTATCAAATACGGCAGTAAAGGCTAGTTTTGTTGTCAGTCAAATACTGGCAAAAAAAATAAACCCTTTGCGGATGGAGAGATGATAAAAGAATGTCTGACTGCTGTTGCAGAAATAGCATTTCCTGATAAAATAAATATTATTTCAAACATTAGTTTATCA